AAGCCCATGTGGATTTCGCCCTGAGCCCTCCACCCTCAGTCGGGAGCGGCCAAGAGGGGGGCGTCCAAGAGGGGGGTGCAAATCATGGTCGGCGGCATGTGCGCGGCCCAGGGGGGGGGGCGGGGACGTAATGCAATAAGAAGAGGCGCCATGAAATATGGGGACATCTCATGGCCCACGCCCATGATATCCGCCCCTCCCCCCTAACCATCACCCCCCTCTTTGCCGCCCCCGATTCAAAGAATGCTCAGGTTTGGTTTAAGTTGGGCGTGCCCCCCTACAGGGGGATTTTCGACGAAAGATTAAAGATATTGAAAAAATGCTCCAAAAAGGTCAGAAAGTACTAAAAAAGAGTCCCCTGACTATTTTTAACTATTTCAACGTTCCTCCTGTAGAGGGACAGGCCCGACTTACGGCTTGGTGGCTGGTGACCTGTTTGGACGCCTGAAATGGGTACGGGAAAAATGGGTACAATGCGCAACAACAAATGCTGTCCCGAACCAACAGCGGCCGCTCTTGGGCAGGCGGCCTTCTGTCTCCAATGGACACAGGCCGCGGCGGCGCGGACGGCGAGTCCTGTTCAAAATGAACAGGAACTGCTGTTGGGCATTGTACCCATTCTTTCCGTGCCCATTTCGTGCAGCCAGAAAGGAGAACCAATGCTGGACCCGCAAAAATGACGGCCGCCCCACCCTCCCGCGAACCGAAAACGGCCGATTCCTTAATCGACGTGTCAGGGTAGGAGGTTTATCAACCTCTGAATCGATTCTGGGGCGCCAACGCTTCGATTCTATCGAACTGCTGTTGGGCATTGTACCCATTCTTTCGGTACCCATGTCGGTCGTCCCGAACCTGAGCTCTCCCGGGCCGGGTGGCGGCCCGGCCCCGGAGCGGCCGCGGCGGGCGTGCGGGAGGACGCCGGCCCGCACGCCGAGGCCGAGCCTGGCCGGGCCCAGCGCTGGGGGAACGAGCAGCACACGCACACACACACACACACACACACACACACCCATGCCAAGGGGAGGAGGAGGAGGAGGAGGAGGAGGAGGAGGATAAGGAGGAGGAGGAGGAAGAGGAGAGGAGGAGGAGGAGGAGAGGAGGAGGAGGAGGAGGAGGAGGAGGAGGAGGGGGAGGAGGAGGAGGAGGGAGGAGGGGGAGGAGGAGGAGGGAAGGAGGAGCAGGAGGAGGAGGAGGAGGAGGAGGGAGGAGGAGGAGGAGGAGGAAGGAGGAGGAGGAGGAGGGGGAGGGGGAGGAGGAGGAGGACGCAGTGGGCACGGGTCGCCCTGGGAGAATGCCCCGGGCGGCCGTGGACCTCCGTGGCCGCCAGCACGCCGCTCGGGCGGGGGCTCTGGGTGCGTGTTGTCGGATGGGGGTCCCCGCTCGCGCGGTAGCCTCCCCCTCCTCTCCTCCTCCTCCTCCTCCTCCTCCTCCTCCTCCTCCTCCTCCTCCTCCTCCTCCTCCTCCTCCTCCTCCTCCTCCTCCTCCTCCTGCTGCGGTTCGACTATCCGAAATACTTGCCCCACCACCCGCGCCCATACCCGCAGCCAGTCCTCCTCACGCCGAACCCCCATGGAGATGGGCGTGTGTGTTGATCGCTCGTCAGTCACCAGGGGCCTCCTGGATGGGGTCGGCGCAGATGGGGTCGGAGGATCGCGCTGCATTGCCGATACATCGGCGATGCACCGCCGATGCATCGGCGATGCACCGGCGACGTCGGCGGTGCATCGGCGACGTCGGTGTGGAGAGAAAGTCGGGCTCCACATCGAGATGCATCGGCGATGCATCAGCGATGCGGCGCGATCCTCCGACCCCATCTACTCGAAACCCATCTGGGAGGCCTACGGCAGGTGCGCGTCGTGTCGACCGGCGGCGACCCCAGCGCGGGCGTGTAAGGTTGAACGCCGCCTGTGGCCCGGAATCGGCCCATCCTTGAACGATCCGGCGTTCACTGAGCGGCCGATCGTTCAAGTTTGTGAAGGAGCCCCGCGGTGTCAGGAACCAACGCCGGGGTCGACGCGACGCGAACCTGCCGTGGAACTGTTCGCTCGTCAGTACCTGGGAGAACAGTCGGCGGTGGACAAACCGCCCCTTAGTAGACCTCCCCGTAGTGAAAACGGCCTGGGACCGAAACCGACGGACCTGGACCCGCACAGACGACGGCCGCGACGCCCTCTCGCGAACGGCACGGCCCTGGACCCGCAAAAACGACGGCCGCGACGCCCCCTCGCGAAGCGAAAACGGCCAAATTCCTGAATCGACGTGCCCGGGGTGGGAGGTCTGTCCACCCCCGAGGGAGAACAGGGGCGCGCGAGCGGCGCCCGTGCACCGTGCCGTGCCACTGGACTCCCTTCGGGCCCCGCCCTGGCGCGGGCCTTGTGTCGGGCCTGTCCCCCTACAGGGGGATTGTGGACGAAAAACAAAAAATAAACAAAAAGTCCAAAGATAGTCTGGGGACTATGTTTTGATTGTTTGTTGTAATTTGGAAGTGTTTTTGTTTCCTTTTTCGCCGAAAATCCCCCTGTAGGGGGACACGCCCGACTTAACGGTAGTCATGCGGTGCACCGGCCTGCGGCCCCGAGGGCCCCAGCAAACCTGCGCACACCGCACCGTGCCCAGGTCGAGGGCCGACGACGCCCCGGGGGACGCCGACCCAGTGCGGTGGCAACTCCTGGGAGCCTCCCAGGGCTCGAGTTAAACAGTGTTTTCCGTTTTAGTTTTGTCTTCGTCATCCCTAGTTCTGTTTTCGTTTCACATTTGCTGCAAAGCGAAGTCAAAACGAAAACGGCCCACGAGATTGCCAAAACACCGTTTAGCTCGAGCCCTGGAGCCTCCCAGACCACCTCGTCGGCTCCTGCGAATCGACGCTCGTCGACGCTAGTCGACGCCAGTCGACGCCAAGTCGACGCTGATCGCCGCAGGCCGACGCCAAATCGACTCCTCTAGACGTTGATCGACGCTAACCGACGCTAAAGACGGAATTACGAAGGTACAGTCAGGTCGGGCATGTCCCCCTACAGGTGGACGTTGGACGAAAAATACCCCAACAGTTGTCAAGAACAGACGAAAAATCGTCCCCAGAGTATTTTCTGCCTATTCTACAATATTACCCCTGTAGAGGGACAGGCCCGACTTGAGAGTACACAAGGCTCCCATGCCGACACTGCCACTCCCCCAGCCCCCCACCGGGGGCGCGCTCTCTGACCAGGCCTCTCGAAAAACATCCGGCCGCGGCGACGAGGGAGCGGCAGCGGTATCCGCAGCTGCTCCCTAGCTGCTCCCTGGCATCGGTGGCGAACCGACGAACGGCGAGGATCGGCATCGGTGCAGGACCGGTATCCTTTGAATCGGCATCGGTGTCGGCATTGGTGGAGGGCAGGTGGTTGTGGAGAATCACTTCCAGGACGTGTAGCGCCTTGATTTTTTCAATGCGGTGCCCCTGGAAGTAGTCGTCCCCAGGGCCAGTGTTTCATCCCGAGCCGATGTGTTGCACTGTCCTGGGGCCCGGCGAGGGTCCCCAGAGGCCCAAAACGGCCAAAAGCCTTCCGCCACGATGTTGCTCACGACACGAGCATGTCTAGGGTGGATGTGGAGGATCGGTATCGGCATTGGCATCGGCATCGGCATCTCCTCCTCCTCCTCCTCCTCCTCCTCCTCCTCCTCCTCCTCCTCCCCCTCCTCCTCCCCCTCCCCCTCCTCCCCCTCCTCCTCCTCCTCCTCCTCCTCCTCCTCCTCCTCCCCCTCCTCCTCCTCCGAACCCTGGGCGGCCAAAGATCGGCGAAGGAGAGCCAGCGATCCAGCCAGCCGTCTGGAGCGAAGCTGACCCCCATAAGCTGGCGACGACGACGACGACGACGACGACGACGACGACGACGACGACGACGACGACGACGACAAGGACGACGACGACGACGACGACGACGACGACGACGACGACGACGACGACGAGGACGACGACGACGACGACGACGACGACGACGACGACGACGACGACGACGACGAGGCCAAGGATCGGCCGAGACCAGCGATCCAGCCAGCCGTCTACAGCGAAGTGGAGACCGCCGCCCCAAGAGGCCCCAATGGAGGCCCCCAGACGGCCACGAGGCCCCAACGGCAACCCAAGAGGGCCCCCAATGTGGGCTCCGTGAGGGGGAGCACGAACTGACACGTCGAGCCCGCCGCCCGGAGGTGACCCCCGCGGGGCTGAGCTCGGCCAGGCTGACCTCGGCCAGGCTGGGCTCGGCCAAGCTGGACGCGGCCTGGCGAAGCTCGGCCTGGCGAAGCTCGGCCAGGCTGAAGCTCGGCCAGGCGAAGCTCGGCCTCGGCCAAGCGAAGCTCGGCCAGGCCCACAGAACTCGGCCAGCCTGAACTCGGCCAGGCTGAACTCGGCCACGCCGACATCGGCCCGGACAAAGATCAGCCTAGACGAGCCCAGATGGCCGAGTTCCGCCTGGCCGAGTTCCGCCTGGCCGAGTACAAGGGAGGGCTTCGGCTGTCGCCAGGCCCCTTCAAGAGAGGAAAAGCAAGCAAGCGGCACAAACACAAAGATGTTCGGAGCTCCGCGCGGATTTCATGGCTCTGCGCGGGACCCCCCCTGGCGGAGCCTCCGGCGCCGCCCCTGGCGCCCTCCGCGAGCCGGAGAGGAGGGGTCCAGCACCGATCCAAGACATCCGCGCGGAGCTCCTAAAATTGTTGAACGTCGGTCGGAAAAAGTAGGTAAAAGCATGAAGTAGGAGGGCGGATAAAGTGTAGATTGGGTCCAGGCCTTCCCAGAGAATAACAAAACAAAGCAAGAGCATATCGATGCTTGAAGCAGGGAGGAGGAGGAGGAGGAGGAGGAGGAGGAGGAGGTGGAGGAGGAGGAGGAGGAGGAGGGGGAGGAGGGAGGAGGAGGAGGAGGAGGAACAGAAGGAGGAGGAGGGGGAGGACGAGGAGGAGGAGGAGGAGGAGGAGGAGGAGGAGGAGGAGGAGGGAGGAGGGAGGAGGAAGAAGAGAGGAGGGAGGACCCCTCCCAGCCAGAGCCGCTCGGGCCCTCGACGGCCGCCACCTCGAGGGAGGAGGGCACACGGAGGCATCGCCGGCACGAAGGCCGCGAGAGGCCGAGCCCCCTGTGCAAACAGAGGGGAAAGCGTCATGAACAGGTCCCTCCTCGTCGTCGTCGTCGTCGTCGTTGTCCGTGTCCTCGTCGTCGTCCTCGTCGTCGTCGTCGTCGTCGTTGTCCTTGTCCTCGTCGTCGTCGTCGTCGTCGTCGTCGTCGCCGCCGTCGTCGTCGTCGTCGTCGTCGTCGTCGTCGTCGTCGTCGTCCTCGTCGTCGTCGTCGTCGTCGTCGTCGTCGTCGTCGTCGTCGTCGTCGTCGTCCCCCTTCAGGGTCGGCGGCAACGGCTGTAAGGCCTCCGCAGTAGGGGAACTCAAAGGCGGAGGCACACACTTTCGGAGATCCGCGCGGATTTCTTGGATCGGCGCCGGAGGCGTCGCAAGGGGGACCCAGCGCAAATCCAAGAAACCTGCGCGAAGCTCCCTAAATTTATGCGCATGCCGTTTCCCTTTGTCGAGCAAAGGCGCCCTCCTACTCGCTCGCTGGGCGTGTCTGTGGACAGGTTGGGCTGCACGCAGTGCAGCAGGTTGGCGTCGAACAGCACCACCGAGCCGCCTGCGGCGCCCAAGGCAAGGGGGACAGGAGACACCCGCAAGAAGCACACGTGAGCGACGAAAACAAGCGGGTCTCGCGCGGGAAGACATAGTGTTAAGTCGGGCGTGTCCCCCTACAGGCGGATTTCCGACGAAAAATAAAAAAATACCTTCAAAGTGCCCCAAAAGTAGGCAAAAGTAGTCGACAAATCCTCCCCCGACTATCTTTCTACTATTTTTGAATATTCCTCCTGTAGAGGGACAGGCCCGACTCAAACATAGTGACCCTCCGCGGGTGGGTGGCTTGCGCGGGCCGCCGCCGCGGCACGCCACACCGGAAACGAGAGCGCTCACGCGCGACCTTCCGCGCGCGACTGCCGCTGCCATCGGCCCTCAGGAAAGGCACGGCGGCTGGCTCTCGGCCGCTCTCGGCCTCTGGGGCTCTGTCGCTCCCGGGCGACCTCGAAGGCCACAGCCCAGAGGCAGCCTCGGGCACCCAGAGAGGCCTCGAAACGGTGTCGAATGAGCAGGGACCGACCGTCCTGGCATTCCTATATATAGTCCTACCACGAAATGTTCTTAGAACCCCAAAAATGTTCTAAGAACAAAAGCCATGTCCTTAGAACATGAACCCGGTGTGGTACAACAGGACAAGCTCCGCCAGACATGTTCTAAGAACATGTCGTGGAAACCACCACGGCAGGTTCTTAGAACATTGTCTGGTAGGGCTATGGGCACGCCGGGACGCTCCGCCACTGCTCGAGTCGAAAGAGCATCGCCCCCCCGGGCCCTGCGCGTGAAGGCCCCCCGGCCTCGGTGTTCCCCCCAGGGCCCGAAAACGTTCTTCGCGCGGGTGGCCCTGTCGGAGAGACCGCTCCGAGGTGACAAACGCGGCCCCTGGGAAGGCGGTCCAGAGACCTCCGAAGGTCCTAGCCATGGGAAAACTCCACACACACACACACATACAAAAAAAAATCCTGGCGAAGGACCCAACCATATGCAGTTGTGAGCACCGCAATTGTGAATATCTTCTTCGGTGGCGCTCCCTATGGGGCCACGAACCGTATGAAGGTGTGCCGAATTGTGTGGCGTAGCCTCTGCAGCGGGCTCCCCTGGGAACCCCGACGGCAGCGCCCGCGCGCCGCGACGCCCATGTCGGCACGCCCCACACGAGGATCGCGCCCGCTTCCTCCCCTCCTTTTTCCTTGTCCTTTTGCCCGCGCACTCAAAGTCCAAGGCTGCGGGCGCAGCGCAAGGCGGAGCCCTCGCGACGCGCGCGACAACGCCTTCGGTGGAGCCTCTATGGGGCAACGAAACGCGTGAGGGGTGTGTCGAAATGAGTGTGCGGGACGCATGCGGGCACACCCACTGGGACCTGCGGTGGAGCCCCCTTATGGGGCCACGAAGCGTGTGAAGGGTGTGCCAAAATGGGTGTGCGGGACGCATGCGGGCACACCCACTGGGACCTTCGGTGGGGTTCCCTATGAGGCCACGAAACGTGTGAGGGGTGTGCCGAAATGGGCGTGCGGGACGCCAGCGGGCACACCCAGTGTGACCTTCGGTGGAGCCCCCTATGGGGCCACGAAACGAGTGAGGGGTGTGCCGACATGGGTGCGCGGGGCACATGCGGACACACCCACTCGGACCTTCGGTGGAGCTCCCTATGGGGCCACGAAACGTGTGAAGGGTGTGCCGAGATGGGTGTGCGGGACGCATGCGGGCACACCCACTGGGACCTTCGGTGGAGCTCCCTATGGGGCCACGAAACGTGTGAGGGGTGTGCCGGAATGGGTGTGCGGGACGCATGCGGGCACATCCACTGGGACCTTCGGTGGAGCTCCCTATGGGGCCACGAAACGTGTGAAGGGGTGTGCC